TAATTACGCAATAGCGTCTCTCTCTCTTTTGCAGCAGCAGCAGCGAGCATATCAGCTGGCCCGGTGGGTCACGCGCGTTTCATCGTGTGCATGTAAACATTATAAAAGTGGCGCTCCGGCAATTTTCGGGACCCACCAAGGGATATTACACACACACACGTATACGCGCGTTTTTATGCGGGCAATTCTAATTCACGAAAACCTGTAATCATTGCGAGCTGCAGTGGCGGCGGCGGCGTCGGTGAGCCGTTGTACCGTTGATTTGCTCGTTTTTCGTTTTATATCCATACGCAGCGCAGCGACTGCTGCTGCGGCAGAGGTGATATGGTGGTGGTGGTGTGGCGTCAGTGACGCCCAGGCATATAGTAGCACACACGGGTATATATAGCACCGCTGCAGACTTGGAAGTGAGAAGTGCAAACGGCAAACGATTTAATTACAGTCGACAACGCGCACGGTTCGGCTGTGTTTATATTATATCCGAATATACATACGGTGGTGTCGGCGGCGGCGGCTTGCCGGGGCCTTAATTATAGACCTAATGTCGACACAATAGACGAGGTGCGTAAAACTGCGCGCCTGCATGAAAAACGCATGTGCTGCATATCATCATCATCATCAACACCTCGACGAAAGTCTGCCGTACGCAGCAACTTTTCATCCGCTGCTTTCTTTCAGCTGGCGCGCGCGCGCGGTTTTAGCCCATTTTTTTTTTTTTTTTTTTATTTAAAATATATATAAAGCGATTGTGTGCGCCGCGCGCGACCATCGTGCCTCCGAGCGCTGCAAAGTGTCGGGGGGCCGGGGCTCGATGATGCGCGCTCGAGCGCGAGCACGTGTGCATTATAACGCAGCCGATGCTCGTTGGGTTTTTTAAAACGACCAGCGCCGTGCAGCGCGTTGCAGCGGACAGGCCCTTTGATCGACGTTTTCACACTTCTCCGCCGCGAGATAGCTGTCTGTCAAATTCACACAAACACACCGGCCGGCCGGGAGCGTTGAAAAATTATAGAAAACAATGCGCAGTTAAAAAGAAGGAGGTGATTAAAAGATTATAGACTCTTTCGGGGATTAACGATTCGCTGACTGATGGCGCGCGCGTTAGCAATAACCAGCTGTCGAATCGGAGTCGACGCATAAAATGCTCGAAAATCAATTTTGGATATTCCACGGTAATAGGTGGCCCTCCTCTCATATATATATACAACGTATATTATACCGAGTGTGGTCTCGCGCGAAACGTGTCCACTCCGAAAATTGAGGCAAAAATCTCGAGTCCGAAAATGTATACGCGTCGAGAGTCGCGGCGACGGCACAGGGAGAAGGTAGAAAACAAAGAGGAAAGCTGAGGAGAGTAAGAGAGATAGCGAGGGCTAAAGGAACACACAGAGCCAAAGGAGAGGCGGCGAGATTTGGTCTCTCTCTCTCTCTCTCTCTCGATTCTCACGCTCTTTCTGCGCGCCGTTACTGAGGGCGCGAGCTGTAGATATGCTCTCTCTCTCTCTCTCTCTCTCTCTCTCTCTCTCTACACGCCGCTGCTGCTGCAGTATTAGGGCGAGGAGGGAGAGTGACTCGACGACGCCGGGCCATTGCCGCGCGCAGTTATATGCACTGCACAGCTCTGCTGCCGCCGCCTCAGCAGTAAACAATCGCGTTTTCGAGGGTCCTTTCCGGTCTCGCTGCGCTATACTATTTGCTCCTCGGCTCTGCTCCGCTGCAGCAGCGTCGCTTATATGTACGCGTGTGTGTGTGTGTACTCTTCTCGGTCTCCTCTTTTTTTCCGACTAATCTCGGATAATGGATAATCGCGAGGCATGCGGCGGCCCGTGTACGTATATGCAGGCATAGACGTATATTTTGACGACTGCGGCAGCCTCGAAGCTCGTCCCTTCGGTGCAGCGGCCGGCCGGCGGCGCGCATAAACGTACGGTACGAGTATATAACTAGCGGCTGCTCTCTGGGGGTCGCGTCGACGAAACAGAGAGAGCCCAAAAGCCAAACGAAAGCGCATTCCTACCTCCGCCGAACATATGCAGTCTCCGCTTCTCTCTCTCTCTCTTCGTTTCGTTATTTCCCTTTGTTTATCTGTCTGTCTTCCATAATGCAAGCGTACGTATATAGCTGGGGCTGCATTTTGTTATTTTCGTTTTTGCCTCTTGCGCTAAATGCTCAGCGCGTCATTTAAATATCGGGCCGTCCTGCTCAGAGCTTCGGACTTCTAGAACCGAGCGAGGCTCTGTTATTTGAGCATACGAGCTTGGCCCATCGTACGAATACGAATGCGCACCACCGAGGTATTGGACCTATCTCCGAGCCCATTCCTATTTCGTTTCATTACACACTTCCCTCCTCGCGAAGCAGCGGAGCAATGGGAGTAGAGCGAGTGCATACATTGTATAACACATACGTGCGCGCACAGGACTCTTTAACTGCTATATGGTCTTTTGCTCGAACTGCAACTATACTTGGAATTATACACACCGGCTCTTACCGCGAATTTCGATTCTGTCTGGGCATTTTTCTATGTCTGTCCGCTACATATACACGTGAATCTCTCTCTTTCTCTTTCTCCTTTCGTCCGTAGCTTCTACTCTCTAGATTTCCCTCGTTCTTTTCGAATTCTACACCGTGCGCCCGGCTACCGATTTATTACCCTCGCTAGTCGTGTGCGCTCCGACCACACGCTTATTGCACGTTGCGTGATGAGCGCAAGAAAGAGGCACACGAGAGAGACATAATACAATGCGGAGAGGGCACGAAATTGATGGTTTATTTAAAAGCCCGAGCAGCAGCAGCAGCGTAGCGATCAGCGCGCGTCAGCTGAGAGTAGTAGATAGTAGTAGTAGTAGTCGTCGAACGTTTCGTGTCACTACTCCACCCTTGCGCGTCTACTTCGACTCCACTCGCACACGAATCTCGGTTATGCGCTGCCAACGCTATGTTATTTGCGACGCAGAAAAGGAGAATAGCCGCGCGAAATAATGGTAAAGGGCAGCAAAAGCAAAGGGCACGCTCACACACGGGAAATTACCAAAAATCTCGGATAATAGCGAGAGATGAGCTACCATTGAAAAAGGCTGCGCACCTATGCTCGCTGGTCTACACAAACACACAGCATACATATTCTGGAATTCGGTTGCTAATAAGGAGCACCCTTTATGCGCGCTGTGCACGAGCAGCAGCTCGAGCCAACACGCACCGACTCGAGAAGGACGAACGGAGAATGCGGACTATTTTTGGATTCCTTCGTGTCTCTCTGACAGTATGCCAGGGTACGTATACATACATAAGTGCAATAGAGGTACAACGCACACTGATGTATGGTCGCTGCAATCTGCGCGTAGTCCGTAGCCGATTATTGGTAGAGGAGAGACTGTGGTAAAACACGATGTATTGAACGAAATTTTGTAACTGCTTTCGAAATTAAGGGCTTTTGTCTTTTCTCTCGTTCTGATCGTTCTTCTCTTTTACTTATACGTAAGTATTGAGTGTGTGTATGTGTGCACTGTCCAGGGCCTGTATCCAAATCTTTGCTTTAACCGCGAGAAATAATCGTGTCTCGCGATAATATAATGCAACTCGTTTCCTATTTTCACGCCTTGTGTTTTTTCTGCTCTCTCTCTCTCTCTCTCTCTCTCTCTCTCTCTCTCTCGTGTGTCTCATTGTGGATCGATAAAACCGTATCCCGTATCAATGTGCTTCATGCGTTGGTGCACTCTATATAAACTTCGGCTCCAAAATGTATATAAATGTAAGCATTTCGAATGGAAGTGAAATGAAAACACTGGATTCTTTTTTAATCTAAGCACATTAATGCATTTTTTGCTTCCTCGTTTTTTCAAAAATTTTCAAAAATGAAATACAAACTTTCCCTTTCATAATCAAACCCTTTCATTGATATAATGTTTTATGAAGAAGCTCTTTGCCAATAAATTGGCAGAGGTTTTTCATTTCGAAGCGCGTGACTAATGCCTCGTCTACGCGCAAAAACGGGTGCACGATACGTGCGCGCGCGTTCCACCGAATCTTATTTTTATCATATTAGCATGAACCTGCCCCGTGTCTTTCGAGGCCGGGAGCAGGATCGCTTAATTATGAATTTGACGTAATAATAAAGTTCATAGTCGTTCTTAAAGCAGCTTGATCATTTTTCACAGTATTTTTTCGATGAGTGTGATAATTACATTTGTGACCCTTTGACAAGTGCAACGAATCGGACTTTATTTTTTGGATTAAAGGATAAAAGTCCGAAAAAGTTTCCTTCGACTTCACGTATGATTCAACGTATCATTTTGATTCGAGCGTATACCAAATAGCTTTCTCTATGAGGGAGCAAAATTTTACGAAATAAAAGTTAATACTAAAATTAAAAGTAGTTGGCGTTCTGCGATGGGGCGTTGTTTCTGTACGAGCAAGAGCTTTTGTTGCCCGACTTTGCCCGAATTTTGAGCTCTAGCTGCAGCTCATTTTTCGGCTGGATCGTCCGTCTTACAACCGAAACTTATTTAACTGACCACAAAAGTATCTACGAATTATTATATCAAATTTTTAACATTTTCATTCATTTCTTTATTTAAACATCATCACCAGTTTGTGAAAAACAAGAATACTTTTCTTATTATAAAATTACATTTTTGGAATATTAATTAAAATGCGCATAATTATTAGTTGAGGTATTATTGTGTGCTGAGAGAATGATATTTTCATTACGATCTCGGTATAATTTTGTTGTTTACATGTCAGTAGCTACTCATCGTTGTACAAAACTGTTTACGCTCAGTCGCTATTAATCATTTCCTGCTGTAAGAAGTGTTTACAATAATATCCGTTCAAGTCTATAGGTGAAAATAAGACTCGGTGTTGGCTACTCGAGGCATCTAATTTTGAATAATTCCAAGATAAATTATTGTAACGAAGCGATGGAAAGCAGAAAGGATTTAGTTAGGTATACACTTTTTCATGCTTGCCAAAGATATATTTTTAAACGATCGTTTCTTTAGCATTAAAGAGGAGCCTCGTGACAATTGGGAAGATGTTGCCAACGAGAGTGTCGAACCGGGGGTCTCGGTCAAAACCGAAAACTCTGATGAATCATCGGTAAGATCTATCTTTTGAAATTATGATCAGATTTGCTCCATAAAAAAACTATAACACAATTTTAATTTTAGGCAAATCCCACCAATGACTGTATTTCGTCGCAGCAGAAGGAAGATGAGGATATTCTGATAGATTGCGAGAGCGTATTGGTAAAACAGGAACATAAGCCCTCATTGACGACCATCTGCCAACCTACTGTAAAGGAAGAAGATCCAACAAATGACTCGAATGGAAAAAGGCTTACAATTTTAATTAAAAAAGGATTCGATTATGAGAAGAACCATCGATTTACCATTGGGGAAGAATCGAATTTAACAAGACAAATAGAAACGACGAATAAGGACGATGGATCACATGAATTAGAAATTTGCAAAACCGAAAACTCTGATGAATCATCGACGAATGAATCATCGGTAAGATCTATCTTTTGAATTTATGTTCGGATTTCCACCATGAAAAAACTATAAACAATTTTAAACTCGATGCCGTTACAGGATGGAATTTCGATCGAATTGGAGACCGAAAATGTAAAACTTGAACCTAAGCCCTCATTGACGACCATCTGCCAAGCTACTGTAAAGGAGGAAAATCCGGGGTTCTCGGTGAAAACTGAAAAATCTGATGAATCATCGACGAGTGAATCATCGGTAAGATCTATCTTTTGAATTTATGTTCGGATTTCCACCATGAAAAAACTATAAACAATTTTAAACTCGATGCCGTTACAGGATGAAATTTCGATCGAATTGGAGACCGAAAATGTAAAACTTGAACCAAAGCCCTCATTGACGACCATCTGCCAAGCTACTGTAAAGAAGGAAAATCCGGGGTTCTCGGTGAAAACTGAAAAATCTGATAAATCATCGACGAGTGAATCATCGGTAAGATCTATCTTTTGAATTTATATTCGAATTTACACCATGAAAAAACTATAACACAATTTTAATTTTAGGCAAATCCCACTAATGACTCTACGATGGAAGAGGAGCCTCGTGACAATTGCGAAGATGTAGCCGACGTGAGTGTCGATCTGGCGTTCTCGGTGAAAACTGAAAACTCTGATGAATCATCGACGAATGAATCATCGGTAAGATCTATCTTTTGAATTTATGTTCGGATTTTCACCATGAAAAACTATAAACAATTTTAAACTCGATGCCGTTACAGGATGAAATTTCGATCGAATTGGAGACCGAAAATGTAAAACTTGAACCTAAGCCCTCATCAACGAACATCTGCCAAACTACTGTTAAGGAAGAAAATCCAACAAATGACTTGAATGGGAAAAGGCTTACAATTTTAATAAAAAAAGGATTCAATTACGATAGTAATCGTAAATTTACCGGAGAAGAAGTGACTTCAACAAGCCAAATGAAAACGACACATAAGGGCATTGGACCACTTGAATGTGAAATTTGTCATAAATCATTTTCACTTAAAGGTAATCTAAATAAACACATACGTTTAGTCCATGGTCAGAGCAAACCTTTTGAATGTGAAATTTGTCACAAATCATTTGGAGAAAAACAACACCTTAAAACTCACATGAATTCAGTACATAATAAGAGCAAACCCTTTGAATGTGAAATTTGTCACAAATCATTTGGACAAAAAAGTACCCTCAAAACTCACGTAAATGCAGTACATGATGGCAGCAAACCCTTTGAGTGTGAGATTTGTCACAAATCATTTTCATCCAAGGGTGATCTAAATAGACATACAAGGACAGTACACGATCGTAGCAAACCTTTTGAGTGTGAGTTTTGTCACAAAGCATTTGGACTAAAAAGTGACCATAAAAAACATATAAGTGTAGTACATAATCGGAGCAAGCCCTTCGAGTGTGACATTTGTCACAAATCATTTAATGAAAAGAATAACCTCAATAAACACATAAATGTAGTACATTTTCTCAGTAAACCCTTCGAGTGTGAGTTTTGTCACAAAGCATTTGGACTAAAAGGTGACCTTAAAAAACATATAAGTGCAGTACATAATCGGATCAAACCCTTCGAGTGTGACATTTGTCACAAATCATTTGGAGAAAAGAATAACCTCAATAGACACATAAATGTAGTACATTTTCTTAGTAAACCATTCGAGTGTGAGTTTTGTCACAAAGCATTTGGACTAAAAGGTGACCTTAAAAGACATATAAGTGCAGTACATAATCGGATAAAACCCTTCGAGTGTGACATTTGTCACAAATCATTTGGACGAAAAGGTGACCTCGCCGCTCATATCAAGGGAGTACATCTTCGGAGCAAACCCTTTGAGTGTAATATTTGTCACCAGTCATTTGAATACAAGGGTGACCTCGAAAAGCACATAACAACAGTACATAACGGTAGCAAACCCTTTGAGTGTGAGATTTGTAATCACTCATTTGGACGCAATAGTCATCTCAAGAGACACATCAAAACAGTACATAACGGTAGCAAACCCTTTGAGTGTGAGATTTGTAATCACTCATTTGGACGCAATTGTCATCTCAAGAGACACATCAAAACAGTACATCTTCGGAGTTAACCCTTTGAGTGTGAAATTTGTCACAAATCATTTGGATACCCTAGTGTACTCAAATCTCACGTAAAGTCAGCTTATGAACAGAGAAAATCTGAATGTTAGACTTGTCACAGGTCATTTAGCGGCAAGAAGCGTCTCGAAAATCACATTAATGCAGTACATAAGGAAAACAAACCTTAGAAGTATGAAATTGATTTAATATTGTAATCAAACGGGTTATACGCTATGTAATTTTAGACAACCATTGTCATGAACAATAAAGCTTTTCAAACTGTTATTCATTCAATATAAGTATAAAAATGAAAAATGACGGAAAATATGCTCATCAAAATTTCGAGCTTTGACTCGTCGTCGCGAAACAAATACGATACAAATCTTTGCTGGTTATAGATGCTCGATGATCGTGTTGCAGCGAAGAATCGGCGAACGATATCGCGTCAGCTCCAAGAGTTGACTCCAAGCAATTGACATTGTATCATAGCAGACGAGAGAGAGAGAGAGAGAGAGAGAGACGGAGATTATAAACGACGCTGCCGGTATAAAGAAGTTTCGCTTCGGAAGCCTTTTTTCTCGCGAAATACATTTGCATTATCAATATGCAATGCTTTCGAAATTAAGGGCTTTTGTCTTTTCTCTCGTTCTGATCGTTCTTCTCTTTTACTTATACGTAAGCATTGTGTGTGTGTGTGTATGTGTGCACTGTGCAGGGCCTGTATCCAAATCTTTGCTTTAACCGCGAGAAATAATCGTGTCTCGCGATAATATAATGCAACTCGTTTCCTATTTTCACGCCTTGTGTTTTTTCTGCTCTCTCTCTCTCTCTCTCTCTCTCTCTCTCGTGTGTCTCATTGTGGATCGATAAAACCGTATCCCGTATCGATGTGCTTCATGCGTTGGTGCACTCGATATAAACTTCGGCTCCAAAATGTATATAAATGTAAGCATTTCGAATGGAAGTGAAATGAAAACACTGGATTCTTTTTTAATCTAAGCACATTAATGCATTTTTTGCTTCCTCGTTTTTTCAAAAATTTTCAAAAATGAAATACAAATTTTCCCTTTAATAATCAAACCCTTTCATTGATATAATTTTTTATGAAGAAGCTCTTTGCCAATAAATTGGCAGAGGTTTTTCATTTCGAAGCGCGTGACTAATGCCTCGTCTACGAGGAAAAACGGGTGCACGATACGTGCCCGCGCGTTCCACCGAATCTTATTTTTATCATATTAGCATGAACCTGCCCCGTGTCTTTCGAGGCCGGGAGCAGGATCGCTTAATTATGAATTTGACGTAATAATAAAGTTCATAGTCGTTCTTAAAGCAGCTTGATCATTTTTCACAGTATTTTTTCGATGAGTGTGATAATTACATTTGTGACCCTTTGACAAGTGCAACGAATCGGACTTTATTTTTTGGATTAAAGGATAAAAGTCCGAAAAAGTTTCCTTCGACTTCACGTATGATTCAACGTATCATTTTGATTCGAGCGTATACCAAATAGCTTTCTCTATGAGGGAGCAAAATTTTACGAAATAAAAGTTAATACTAAAATTAAAAGTAGTTGGCGTTCTGCGATGGGGCGTTGTTTCTGTACGAGCAAGAGCTTTTGTTGCCCGACTTTGCCCGAATTTTGAGCTCTAGCTGCAGCTCATTTTTCGGCTGGATCGTCCGTCTTACAACCGAAACTTATTTAACTGACCACAAAAGTATCTACGAATTATTATATCAAATTTTTAACATTTTCATTCATTTCTTTATTTAAACATCATCACCAGTTTGTGAAAAACAAGAATACTTTTCTTATTATAAAATTACATTTTTGGAATATTAATTAAAATGCGCATAATTATTAGTTGAGGTATTATTGTGTGCTGAGAGAATGATATTTTCATTACGATCTCGGTATAATTTTGTTGTTTACATGTCAGTAGCTACTCATCGTTGTACAAAACTGTTTACGCTCAGTCGCTATTAATCATTTCCTGCTGTAAGAAGTGTTTACAATAATATCCGTTCAAGTCTATAGGTGAAAATAAGACTCGGTGTTGGCTACTCGAGGCATCTAATTTTGAATAATTCCAAGATAAATTATTGTAACGAAGCGATGGAAAGCAGAAAGGATTTAGTTAGGTATACACTTTTTCATGCTTGCCAAAGATATATTTTTAAACGATCGTTTCTTTAGCATTAAAGAGGAGCCTCGTGACAATTGGGAAGATGTTGCCAACGAGAGTGTCGAACCGGGGGTCTCGGTCAAAACCGAAAACTCTGATGAATCATCGACGAATGAATCATCGGTAAGATCTATCTTTTGAATTTATATTCGGATTTCCACCATGAAAAAACTATAAACAATTTTAAACTCGATGCCGTTACAGGATGAAATTTCGATCGAATTGGAGACCGAAAATGTAAAACTTGAACCTAAGCCCTCATTGACGACCATCTGCCAAGCTACTGTAAAGGAGGAAAATCCGGGGTTCTCGGTGAAAACTGAAAAATCTGATGAATCATCGACGAGTGAATCATCGGTAAGATCTATCTTTTGAATTTATGTTCGGATTTCCACCATGAAAAAACTATAAACAATTTTAAACTCGATGCCGTTACAGGATGGAATTTCGATCGAATTGGAGACCGAAAATGTAAAACTTGAACCTAAGCCCTCATTGACGACCATCTGCCAAGCTGCTGTAAAGGAGGAAAATCCGGGGTTCTCGGTGAAAACTGAAAACTCTGATGAATCATCGACGACTGAATCATCGGTAAGATCTATCTTTTGAATTTATATTCGGATTTACACCATAAAAAAACTATAACACAATTTTAATTTTAGGCTAATCCCACTAATGACTCTATGATGAAAGAGGAGCCTCGTGACAATTGCGAAGATGTAGCCGACGTGAGTGTTGATCCGGGGTTCTTGGTGAAAACTGAAAACTCTGAAGAATCATCGTCGAATGAGTCATTGGTGAGTCCATTTTTCGAAATTATGTTCGGATTTCCACCATGAAAAAACTATAAACAATTTTAAAGACTCGATTCTGTTACAGGATGAAATTTCGATCGAATTGGAGACCGAAAATGTAAAACTTGAACCTAAGCCCTCATTGACGACCATCTGCCAAGCTGCTGTAAAGGAGGAAAATCCGGGGTTCTCGGTGAAAACTGAAAAATCTGATGAATCATCGGTAAGATCTATCTTTTGAATTTATATTCGGATTTACACTATGAAAAAACTATAACACAATTTTAATTTTAGGCAAATCCCACTAATGACTCTACGATGGAAGAGGAGCTTCGTGACAATTGGGAAGATGTAGCCGACGTGAGTGTCGATCTGGCGTTCTCGGTGAAAACTGAAAACTCTGATGAATCATCGACGAATGAATCATCGGTAAGATCTATCTTTTGAATTTATGTTCGGATTTTCACCATGAAAAACTATAAACAATTTTAAACTCGATGCCGTTACAGGATGAAATTTCGATCGAATTGGAGACCGAAAATGTAAAACTTGAACCTAAGCCCTCATCAACGAACATCTGCCAAACTACTGTTAAGGAAGAAAATCCAACAAATGACTTGAATGGGAAAAGGCTTACAATTTTAATAAAAAAAGGATTCAATTACGATAGTAATCGTAAATTTACCGGAGAAGAAGCGACTTCAACAAGCCAAATGAAAACGACACATAAGGGCATTGGATCACTTGAATGTGAAATTTGTCATAAATCATTTAGAAAACCAAGTGTACTTAAAGCGCACGTGAATCAAGTACATGATAAAATCAAACCTTTCCAGTGTGAAATTTGTCACAAATCATTTGGACAAAAACAACACCTCAAAAATCACGTGAATGCAGTACATAATCAGAGCAAACCCTTTGAGTGTGAGATTTGTCACAAATCATTTTCATGCAAGGGTGATCTAAATAAACATACAAGGACAGTACATCCAATCAAAAGACAAGGACAATACGATCGTAGTAAACCTTTTGAGTGTGAGTTTTGTCACAAAGCATTTGGACTAAAAAGTAACCATAAAAAACATATAAGTGTAGTACATAATCGGAGCAAGCCCTTCGAGTGTGATTCTTGTCATAAATCATTCGGACAAAAGAGTCATCTCAAAACTCACATAATAGCGGTGCATAATCGGAGCAAACCCTTCGAGTGTGATTTTTGTCACAAAGCATTTGGACTAAAAGGTGACCTTAAAAAACATATAAGTGCAGTACATAATCGGATCAAACCCTTCGATTGTGACATTTGTCACAAATCATTTTCATTCAAGGGTGATCTAAATAGACATACAAGGACAGTACACGATCGTAGCAAACCTTTTGAGTGTGAGTTTTGTCACAAAGCATTTGGACTAAAAAGTGACCATAAAAAACATATAAGTGTAGTACATAATCGGAGCAAACCCTTCGAGTGTGACATTTGTCACAAATCATTTAAAGAAAAGAATAACCTCAATAAACACATAAATTTAGTACATTTTCTCAGTAAACCCTTCGAGTGTGAGTTTTGTCACAAAGCATTTGGACTAAAAGGTGACCTTAAAAGACATATAAGTGCAGTACATAATCGGATCAAACCCTTCGAGTGTGACATTTGTCACAAATCATTTGGACGAAAAGGTGACCTCGCCACTCATACAAAGAGAGTACATCTTCGGAGCAAACCCTTTGAGTGTGAAATTTGTCACAAATCATTTGGATACCCTAGTGTACTCAAATCTCACGTAAAGTCAGCTCATGAACAGAGAAAATCTGAATGTTAGACTTGTCCCAGGTCATTTAGCGGCAAGAAGCGTCTCGAAAATCACATTAATGCAGTACATAAGGAAAACAAACCTTAGAAGTATGAAATTGATTTAAAATTTGTAATCAAACGGGTTATACGCTATGTAATTTTAGACAACCATTGTCATGAACAATAAAGCTTTTCAAACTGTTATTCATTCAATATAAGTATAAAAATGAAAAATGACGGAAAATATGCTCATCAAAATTTCGAGCTTTGACTCGTCGTCGCGAAACAAATACGATACAAATCTTTGCTGGTTATAGCTGCTCGATGATCGTGTCGCAGCAAAGAATCGGCGAACGATATCGCGTCAGCTCCAAGAGTTGACTCCAAGCAATTGACATTGTATCATAGCAGACGAGAGAGAGAGAGAGAGAGAGAGAGACGGAGATTATAAACGACGCTGCCGGTATAAAGAAGTTTCGCTTCGGAAGCCTTTTTTCTCGCGAAATACATTTGCATTATCAATATGCAATGCTTTCGAAATTAAGGGCTTTTGTCTTTTCTCTCGTTCTGATCGTTCTTCTCTTTTACTTATACGTAAGCATTGTGTGTGTGTGTGTATGTGTGCACTGTCCAGGGCCTGTATCCAAATCTTTGCTTTAACCGCGAGAAATAATCGTGTTTCGCGATAATATAATGCAACTCGTTTCCTATTTTCACGCCTTGTGTTTTTTCTGCTCTCTCTCTCTCTCTCTCTCTCTCTGTCCGGCTTCGCGCGACAACTTTTCGAAATCGAAATCGGATACTAGAAGTTCACTTTCACCTCGTGGCGACTCGCGCGCAAAATCGTATCGCGGGGCTGCGCGCGCGTTTGTTCGCGCGGCAACCGAAACGTTTACTTTTTCATTCGATTTATAAATGCAGCGAACTGTAATCTAATACACAGGTCCATATCGGTGCGAATAAAAATGTCGCGGTTGGAAACTAAAGCGACGCGGCCCACGCGATAAAATTATAAGATCGAGACTGGAGCAGAGAGAGGGAGAGAGAATGAATTATGCATCGCGGTATCATCCTGTCTATCGATGTGTATCTTGTGTACGAGTATAAAGCTTGAGATCCATACATTAACCTACATTTTCACGGGATATACGATTAATATGCATTTGTGTATTATCCCCGAGAGCGACGATCTATTGACAGATAAAGGTATGAGTTTGTAACGTAGTTTCTTAATTCTCGAGCGCAACAGACACAACTGCAAAAAGGAAAAGTATAATTTATTGATTTTCTGGGTCAGTTACATATTACCCTCTAATTTCTTATCGCGAATTTTACCATTTACAAATTATGAAATATCTCGTTCTAGTTATATTCTCCGTACTATCACGTATCTACGTTGAGTAGCTCTCTAACTGAGTGATTTACACACATGTACGAGTGTGCGTACATTTTTACAGGAATGTTTTAATAATCTATACTTAAATGTTGCACCGGCACGTCCACGTTTAATCGATTAGCTCTCGAGTCTTTATGCTGGCAAAGATCGAAACGAACGAAATGATACACGAGGTAAAAGACAGCCTTAAAGTGCATAAAGTCGTGTATACATGTACTTATGCTCGTTATGCAAAATGTGGCTCGAAAATCAATATTCAAAAAGAGTTTGACCAAAAGACCCACAAAAACAAAAAGCAAACAAGCTTTCTCTGTCTTTCGGCTCGGATATATGCATTTGAAATAAGTCCACAGACGCGCAGCAGCAGCAGCAGCAGTTTGTCGGCAAAAGGTAGGATACGTGTACGGTCGAAAGGAAAATGAACAGTAGAATGAAAAAATAGTAGTGCGGCCCGCTGCAAGCCCGTGTGCGCGCGGACAAAAGTGAGATTGAAAGAAACGTCAAAAAAAAAAAAAAAAAAACAAGTAGTAGTAGTAGTAGTAGTATAGCTCTGGCCTGCATCTGCATCAGAGAGAAGGCAAAGCAGAAAAGAGAGAGTCATGCTAAAATGTCCGAGTAACAAAGAGAAATAGATATGCTATGTTCGCACACGCGGGACCATCGGTGGTGCGCAGGTAGTAGTGGGCATGTCTGTGTGTGTGTTAGAGAACCCTGTGCACACGTTGTACGCAGCATTCAAGTGCACATATGTACGAGTGAATGAAAAAAAAAAGAAGAAGAAGAGCAGAAGGATAAAGAAGAGCACGGAAAAAAGACCACGGAGAAAAGAGAGAGAGAGAGAATAGAGAAAGAGTAAAGAGTTTTAACTTGGCAAACTGACGATTAACAAAAATTGTTGGAACAGGCTGGAGCAGCCGAGCCGAGGCCTCTCTTTTTCTACCGTTCCGTGCATGCAGTATATGTATGTGTGTGCCCCTGCAAACGAAAATGTCTGGGGCAGAGAGAGAAGCATTTTATCGGTGCTCCCTTTTGTAAAAGCTATTTAATTAAAAACTTTTTTAAGAGTGTTTCAAAAGAGGAAAGCGAGCGCGCGCGCGCGCAAAAGAGCGAGAGAGGGTTGAAGGTTTTGTTGACATAAATCTTGAAATAAAAAATTTGCCAGGCCTAACCCGCGCGCCCGCGAATTTTGTCAGAGAGAGAGTTATAATAGAGATTCTCTCTATCTCTCTGTGCAGATGGCGAAATATTAATTTTGGTCTTGAAAAAATTCTCGTTAATTGCGAGCAAAAATTAAGCGGCCTTTCGAGGATCAACCTTCATAATGCAAATGTACTCTCGTTTTGTGGTATAGAGAGAGAGAATGTGTGCGCGCGCCTGCATATCGGGGCTATAAAAACGCGGAAGTTGCCCATGTACTTTCACTTGTTGAACAGCGCACGACCACACCTTTATAATATAATAATTTATATATTATTTGGGTCCTTAAAACGTGTGCGCAGCAACAACGTATGTATAGGTAGATCGGTGTGTATCGGTAATAGTCCAGTGCAGATAGATATTTTTTGGCAAAAATTACTAACAGTAAACGGCCTACACCACCTTGTAGAGGGTGTCCGTGGGAACATCTGGACGAAAATGGCCGCGATTTGGACTTGAACTTTTTTTGTTATTAACAAAAAACCACAAAATTTGAGTGCCACTGTTGGTTTTTTTAATATATTTCGAAAACTATAGCAGCTAGAGCGATGCTCCCGAGAGAGAAAATGTAGGAAATTTAATCACCTTTCCAACGAATTTGATTACGACCCGATCGGATAAGTAGTTTCCGAGAAAAATGGAAAAAAGTGCGGAAAAACGTGGTTTTTGGCCAAATTTTCGAAAATTCATAGCTCCCTCAATTTTTGGATTTAAGAAACGAAATTTTGCACAAAGATAGTTCTTATCACGTAGAACAACTGTGCAAAACCCGAATTCTGTGCGACTTATAGTTTTCGAGTTATTCAATTTGCAATTTTTTCTTGCGAAAAATCATGTCCTCGGTTATTCGTTGAAATAATCTTTTAAAATTAACTTATCGACTTCGTTCCAACGAATTTAGAAACTTTAATGTATTACCTTTAAAACCCATACCCGACCTGTTCGATCCAACGCGAAAAAGTGTGAAAAAAAACGTTCGCAAAGTTGGCGAATTTTTGCGCAATTCCGCTCGCTCGGGCAGTCGGGCGGTCAGAGTGGGGGAACCAAGCGCCGGCGGGGAACACTGGGCAGCAGGCAACACAGCTTCCCCGCCGGCGCTTGGTTCCCCCACTCTGACCGCCCGACTGCCCGAGCGAGCGGAATTGCGCAAAAATTCGCCAACTTTGCGAACGTTTTTTTTCACACTTTTTCGCGTTGGATCGAACAGGTCGGGTATGGGTTTTAAAGGTAATACATTAAAGTTTCTAAATTCGTTGGAACGAAGTCGATAAGTTAATTTTAAAAGATTATTTCAACGAATAACCGAGGACATGATTTTTCGCAAGAAAAAATTGCAAATTGAATAACTCGAAAACTATAAGTCGCACAGAATTCGGGTTTTGCACAGTTGTTCTACGTGATAAGAACTATCTTTGTGCA